GCACTAAGGCACCTGCTGCTGGTCTCCTCCAGGACTTCAGGCTGGCCAGGGAAAAGCCTGAAGCCAAGACCATGCCGCTTAATATGTGAAGAGGATTAGCACGGTGTGTCCTTACTAAAATGTTTAAGAAATTTGTACAAATGCCTTTATCCGTCAAAAGTTATAAGCTAACATTGACATTCCATCTCCATAGCACACTTCATTAGCTTAATCGATGAAAGACTGAGAAAATAAGCACTTCTTAAAAATGCATAGAACACAGTACAAATGAATCCACATACAAAATGCAGAAACAGCAAATATCCTCAGCAGTTTTGACCCCAAATGGGTTGATGCTTTCTCATGCTTTCAGGAAGGTCATCGATGTTCAAAAAGTAGCGTTTTTTTTCCATTGAATGTGAGATAAGATATCTTGCAGTTTTAGTTCCATTGGTGGTTTTTGCATAATGCAGCATCTCAGCACTCACCACAAAACAGCATGCACAAGGGCAGCACAGGGTAAACGAAGCGAAACTCCTTGTGTGGCAGCAAACTAGACGGAAACACAATCGCAAAAGATATCTTATAGGGGCCATATTGAGGACAGCGATTTCATCTGTCAGTGGTCTTCAGCAGTCCGTAACATTTCATACCTAGCATACAATACAGATAAATCCCTACATACCTATAAATTAAGACTGTCCAGATCACCGCTGCCAGTAGGATCCTGTATCTTTTTGGTGTCAGTGTGCAACCGTGGAAGAAAAGGAGGAGATGAGGGCCAAGAACGACAGGGCAGCCTTGTGTGAAGTACCAGTGCCATGGGTGAGAGCCGTAGAACTCTGCCACGTTATGCCAGATGTTAAACCTGAGGAAGTTCAGCTGGACCAGCGTCCACTAAGGAGAAGGAAGCACTGGATTGTTGGGAATGCCTTAACTCCTTCTCAAGCATGATGTAAGAAGGGATCAAGTGCACAACTGTCAAAATTATATAAACGTGCATAAGTACACATCACACACATATATATTTACCTTGCCATAGAGTATGCAGTCTAAAACTGTTGATAACCCCAGTGTAAAAGCCCTGGAAAATGAAAGAAAATATATACATTTTCCATTAAAATTCAGTAGATAGGCTAATTAAGTGATGATGGCAGGATGGACAGGAGACATTACGTACCCTATAGGAAGTGCATGGTACGTAATAAGCTTCAGTTTGTCATCTTCCTGGAGGAAATGGAATGCCAACAGGGGCATCCACACAATAAGAGCTGTCGGACGAACAAGGATTGCCAGTGCGACCAAACTTAAGTACTTTGAACTGGAAGAAATAAAAATTATATTTTAAATATAACCAACAACTCCTATTATGCCCAAAAATGACATTTTATATGAATTCTATTTCAATGGTAAACTGAGTTGAACTCCAGAGAAGCCAATGAGCATTAATGCTCCCTCACAGCACCTGCTGTGTGACTTTGAGCCAGGCACAGGATAATAACAGAGGGCCAGAGTGGTGAGGATGGTTTCCATGGTGTTTGTCAGAGTCCTTGTGCAGCAGTACCACGTGAACCACGAGGAAAGCTGGCAGAAGTACTACGGGGAACAAAACAAAAGCCATGTGGTGCTACATCAGACACCTTCCCTGCCGCTCTGTAGGACATCTCCACACTCTCGCCACACGGCATCCCTCAAAATGCGTGACAGTCCCTTACCGTCCATCTGGCGACATCACGATGCTCCAGTCTTCGGACAAGAGCATAAAGTTTAATGTCAGCCATGGCAGCGAGGAACGCGTGTATCAAGCGAGGGAACCACACCTGCAGTTTCCAGAATCATACGGCTGGGGAATAAGACAAAGCCTGCAGCTTCCTTCACCATGAATTATCAAAGTGCATGACAGTTACAAACTAACCAGCAGCTGAACGGTGTCGTAGCCCAGAATGTGTAGCATCTTGTACAGGATTGCAATGAAGACTGGGTAAGAGTGACTCCGGATCCCCTCAGTCCATTCCCAAGTAAGGTAACCATAGGTGAGATATTTAAGGATTTTACGGGAGAAATGCAAGTAGTTTGAAAACAAGCAAGTATTTTAATTCTAAAATGTACAGCACCTAAATGAACATTATTAGTTTTACCAGTTGAAGTGGTAAACTGGCATTTTTGCTTGGATTTCATTTGCAGCTGAAAGGATATCCGAAAACCATGCGATGGGAAACTTCAAGGGACTGCCAGTATTCATCAGGAACGTAGCTGCTCTGCACCAGAAAGCAGTTTATAAGCCGAAATCCAACCGAGAAACCAATGATAGAGAATCCTGAAAAATCGAAGAAATGTATATATAGTGATACATACGTATAACGTCGAGAGGCGATATACTTTTTCACTATAAACCCTAAACTCTGATTATTATCATCCTTATTATTTTTATTATTATTATGTTGTTGTTGCTGAAAGTGTAATATAATTGAGTGGAGACATTTCGATGTACGTGAGAAATCGGGTAAGACTTTATTTTTGTAGAGTAGGTCTGATATTTTATAAACACGCTTAGCACAGTTGTGACATAGTGGCTCTCAGTGGGGTATATTTACCATTCTCAAATACATCTGTCGTGTAATCTTTGCTGTAGAGATGAGATTTTCTTTTCCTCAGTTTGACAGGCTCAGAGGCTGACCTTCGGCTTAGTCGTTCCCGGAGCCTTTCCATACTGCATGGTACATCCACATTAGTACTGGATAGGGTCCGGAACTCATTGAAAAGCACGCAATTCACATTTCCGTGTTTCTGCCGTGACAACACAGCCCGAGTAAAAGTAGCTTTGATTTTTGTTCGCAAATTCTACTTTCTTATAACGATTACATCAGGCTATTGCTATATTCAGTAATTGTATTGGAACTAGTTCAGCGTTATGCGACAAATAACTGTTAATGTAGGTATCGCTTATCTGTAAAATATATGTATTTATATGTATAATTATATCGCTATGAAATATAAGTAGCGAATGTGCGGAAGCTGTACTATCGGCGCATTTTTTTGACCTCTCTATGCAGATAATCGAATGACCCAAAAGCGGACTCGTGTGTCTGGCGCTTATAAAACAATAGCAAGGTATGGAGAAAGAAGGTTTGGTTCTTAATGAAAAATATATATCCGGCACATATCTGCCTTTAAATAAAAAAAAATAGTAGTATAATGTGTTTTGAGGCATTGGGGTTTTAGGTGACAGTTTGCAGTGTAAACTTGTTGGCTGATGAATAGTCTTCACGTTATTCATGACCCCTCAGAAATATGTGTTATAGCCGATTGTAGCCGAAAAATGTTATTTTACACTTCCTCGCGCTTCCCACTGAATTCTGACTAAGTAATCGCTTAGTGACAGTGCCATCAAAACATTAAATAATGTGCCTGAAACAAAATTCAACCACAGAGTTTAAAAACTTCTTGTGCATTGAACTTGTGTTAGGTCTTTTGTCTTTAATATATTTCCATTCTCAACAGGATTATCTTTTCAAAAAAATAATCCTCTTTCATCGGTGGACGTTTACTGCTGGAAGACTTGCATGGGAAATGTTTCGCAGGCGTATTCCCTTTCACCAGATAGCCATGGCAGTGATCGTAGGAGTTGTCGGTGGCATTTATGTATACAGACCGATTTTTGACTCATCTGACTGGATGCGCAGCTCCTCTGAGCCAAACCCCGGCGGGAATGTGGAGGGCAAAGCAGAAGAAAATATTAAAGATTAACCAATAATCATGTGCTATAATCATGCTCCTCTTTGTCAAATAAATTACTTAGTGTACAAGACTTTTTTTGCAGGTTGTAGGAATGTCTGTTGTACACTTGAAGACTCGAAATCCCCACTTTTAAAATACCCATTAATTGATAACGCTGCATGTGGTCGAAGAATTTAATTATCGACATAATTACTTAGTGGTGGAGTTGTGAATCAAATATAAAATAGGGCATATTGTGCATATAGACAGCATTCAGTTTAGAGTGATATGCTGCCTTGTGACCTATGCTGACCTAATCGGAAGATGCACGAACGCTTAATTTTGTCTAAACGCCTGGTGTGAAGATCTTATCATTCACGCTGCAGGCAAATGCTCATAGATGTCTTGTCTCCAGTACGACACCTTGGATAAATCTAATTGCCAAACCCTGTTAAGGGTTTTACATGCTTTCGTCAAGTTGTCAAAGTATTGTTTGGTCTGAAGTTGTTTTTTTCTGCCAAGGAGCTTCGAGCTTTTCTTGGTGGTTTACCTAATGTAAAGTAGGCTTAACAATGTGGAGTAACAATGTGTTTAAATACATGAAACATATATTTTAAATTATTTAATTTCCTCTTTGATAAGAAAAGGAATGTCTGGTTTCCAGCGTCGCAAGCTTAATGTTCAGGGCATTACTAACTTGAGTAGATGGTTCCCCACTTCCGGGCCTGGAGGGTCAGTCTGTGACACACTTTGCAAATTTCCCTGCTCAAACACACATAGTGAACTTGGCAATGGCTGGTGAGCTGAATAAACTGTTATACTGCTGCAAAGTTTCACAGTTGCGAGAGAACTGTCGGTATTGAAAGAACTTGATATTTCTTTAAGATCGCCACCATAAGATTTCGAGTGCTGCTATTTTTACACGCACATTTTTGTTGGTGATTACAAGAGGGGCGTATTTGTTCTTGTTAGATGCCTCTGGGTGGCACTATACAGAAAGACTTATCACGCCAATCTTTGCATGGTCAAATCGCAGGGCTCACTCGTGAAGGCAAAGCTGTGTATTTCGATTTTACAGAATATCACCCAAAGACTGAAATGTTGTTCAATTGCAGTATTACAAAATGTTAACATAAATTTTACACGTTTTAATACACCAAACTGTGTTTGATAGTGCATGTGTCCACACGTCCACTGGTGAGGACAGATGCACAAGGAGCCCAGTAGACCTGCGATGTCACGGCGAGGGCGGCGCTCCAGCTCACCCGGGGAGGTCTCCACATCCTGGGTTAGTGAAGGAGGGGCTCTGCCTGCCAAAACGGGAAATGCGTTCACATTTGACTGGGCTGTAATAGCTGTTCTCACAGTATATGAACAAAGGGGACATTTTGAAAGGCACGTAGTAGGTAGCAGGACAGAGCAGCGAATGGAAGTTTAATCTATCCTTAAATTCCTAGAGGAATCAGGTATCATCGTTGACTTTTTTTTACAACCAACAACAGAGGTGAGTGTAACTGTGTGCAGCAGGCATGTCTTAAACTGGTTTCGTAAATGACTTATTAGAGCAGCTAAATGAGTAATCACTCCACGAGGTTTTCAGATTAAATAAAACCATCTTTATATCTATCAAAGTGGCGGCTTCTTTAACTTTGTTAGTCATTATTCCGTTAAGTTCCCCTGCAGGCAGGGTATGTAACACGCCAAAATGCATTTGACAGTGACTGTACCGTTTGGAGTTTATCTGAACAGCATATTCACGTTCCGACGAGACTGAAGCGAAGTTGTGAAGACTGTATAAAATGGGATATACATATTCATTTCTTTGGAATTTAATGTGGCTGTTTCTGTATATCTGCTTTATAAATGTGTGAATACTTCTTTTTAGGCTTTCCTCTGATAAAATTTATGCTGAAGACCTTAATTCTTTTAATTATAAATGGTCCTAGGGGCAAACAGAATCATCAACCTGCGCATAAAACCTACTGCATATATATATATATATATATATATATATATATATATATATATATATATATATATATATATATATATAATTATTATTACCAGAACAAAGAGAGTCTCGATTATTTTAATAAGTTTTAATAATGACTGTGACATTTCAGTTTAAGGCAGGTGCCATTCAGTACTCCATCGACTTTATTGACTTTAGCGAAGTGCGCACAGCGAGCGCAGACCGGGCGCTCTGCAGCTCCCTGCAAGCGCACAGCTGCTCCCGGCTGCTCCGGCTGCTCCCGGCTGCTCGGCTCCAACTGCGGTCTGTGATATGAGCCTTCCCACACCCAGTGGCCTTAAACTGCTGGTTGTAACATATTTCAGTAGAGGTGGAGAGCCTGCGGTACTTGCACCCTAAACTTTTGACATTTCTTAAGATGTCTTTTATAAACATGCGAACAGTTCACCACCTTGAAGTGTCCCAATCTGTCCCGCATGCACAGACCAGCAAGCCGATACGGAGAGATGCTGTTTCGAAACGTGTATTTGTTTTGGCCTAAGATCACAGGAGTTTAAAAATGGCAAAAAGGTCACAGTGTTGTAGACCTTTAGATGCACAGCCATGCTGAGGTAGGCCTATTTGTTGTAAAACGCCTTGAGGACATTTTCCTAGGTCTACAGACCATACTCTAGGTGTGCTTTGCAAGACGTACATGAACATTCCCCTCCATTCGTGATAAAGGAGTAAAATACTGAATAAAAGCAGACACTTCACCCTTTCTCTTGGCAAAGACTTTAGCTCCGTAACCCTCTAGAAATATTTTGGGGAAGACAACAGATGTTTATGGTGAGGTAGTATTGTAAAGTTATAAGAATTGCCCGCCAGTACAGAGCTGAAAGTTTGATCAGAAGGCTGGTGTTCATTGTGAATGGTGGCCATTTCCGTCTTGGTAGTATTTTCAACTGAAAACACATACTGACGCTGTAGTATAATATATTTAGTTAGAGTTGACCCCACTTTTAAGGTATGATATATTATCATTATTATAACAAAAATCTGAATATTATTCAGCTGACAAAAGGATTTAGCATCAAGTGTAGTGATTTATATTTTCCCTAGTTTGCAAAATCTGGGCTCTTTCCATAGAAATGCTTAATTTTCTTTAAATTCATTGATTATTCCCGAAATGATGGTAGCTGTATGAGTAGTTGCATTTTATCAAAATGTTAAAGAAATATGTTTGTAGGTGTTTGTAACCCAGATATGACCAGATGTACAATCGGGACAAAAGTAAACAGTCATTTCTGCTTTATTCAGTTAAAGACCTTTCCGTATTTGCTAATATGTCAAGCATATTGAACAATGTTGAAGTACACTGTTTGTGTCTAAATCTTGAAGAGATTTAGATACTTATTCATTCCTAAGATCCAGATTACGATTTTTGGGTTGCTTGGGGAGCAGTAAGACTTCTAGGTGTCTGTTAATGTTCAGCATCTGTTCCACTTCAGTAGATAATCTGGCATCTCAGGTTTTTAGCATTTATCTGTACGGCACACATCATATTAATGTTTTAATAAAAAAAAAAACAGGTTTAAGTTTCTCTCTCTCCTTTTTTTCTTTTCCTAAGAAACCCTTATTTTTTCTGGAGTAACAAATTCCTGTAACCATATCTTCCAGAATATTCTCAAATATCATGGCTTCCAGTGTGAAATTCTCACAAGTTTCCTGGAAGCTGATAGACTGATGACTTAGGTACCGGTTTATCTAAAGCTTGTGATTAATTGACAGCTAGGTTTGCGAGATTGTCGCACATACCTTTCTCTTATTATATATTTTTATAGCCTTTAATAATCATTTTATTATTGACATTGCAAAAAAGAAACCAGCATTCTGAATACATGTAGTAAAGACCCTCTCTTGGCAGTAGGGATTCATATATTAAATAACCTAGTTCATAGCATCTGCTTTCAGAGTTCTTATATCTGCTATGTGATGTTTATTGTGTTGGTTATCAAACATTACTTTAATGTTAAATGTATATTTTTGCTTCCAGTAGCTGTTTAGTGTTGCAAGGCCCAGCTGTTACGCCAGGGTTGGTAAGATGCGGTTACCTAACGGGGTCCTGGGCTTTTGTCGAATGCCTCAGGTCACCTGACCAGTCAGGGGAAGCACATGAGAAGCAGCTGATGCTTATAGATGAGGTATTTTGTGTGGGGAGCTGGATTAATGTCTGCTAATCAATGCCTTGCAAAGAAAGGCCCTGACTGAGAGCTTTTCAAATCGCTTTTGTAGTCGGGGGAGGGAGTCATTGTGAGCCCCTTTCTGTTTGCCGCTCATATAATTGAAGTCCTTTATAACGTCCAATTATTACTGAATTAAGGCATCCCTTGCAGGCATTAAATGGTTCTTACAGCTCAATCCCAGTCAGCATAAATGATTACACGTGGTGTTAAAAGTAGACGCACATTCCCAAGGATATGACCATGTAGAAAGTTTACTTCCTTGCCTGGGATGATGATCAGCACCTCCAAGTCTGAGGCCATGGTTCTTGACTGGAAAAGAGTGGATTGCCCTCTCCTGGTGGAGGATGAGGCACTGCTTCAAGCAGAGGAGTTTAAGTATCTTGGGGTCTTGTTCACGAGTGAGGGGAAATAGGGAGTGGGAGATCGATAGACGGATCGGTGTAGCGTCAGGAGTAATGCGGACGTTGTACTGTTCTGTTTTGGTGAAGAGGGAGCTGAGCCAGAAGGTAAAGCTCTCAATTTACCAGTCAATTTACGTTCCTACCCTCACCTGTGGTCATGAGCTCTGGGCAATGACCGAAAGAATGAGATCGCAGATACAAGTGGCCGAAATAAGTGTCCTCCACAGGGTGTCTGGGCTCAGCCGTAGACATAGGGTGAGGAGCTCAGACATTCAGGAGGGGCTCAGAGTAGAGCTGCTGCTCCTCTACGCCAAAAGGAGTCAGTTGAGGTGGTTCGGGCATCGATCTAGGATGCCTCCTGGTCGGCTCCCTGGGGAGGTGCTTTGGGGAATGTCCAATTGGGAGGAGGCCCCAGGGCAGACTCAGGACACGCTGGAGAAATTATTTCTCTGCTGGCCTGGGAATGCCTTGGAATTCCCCTGGAGGAGGTGGCTGGGGGGAGAGAGGTCTAGGCATCCCTGCTTAGACTGCTGCCCCCGCCACCCAACCCTGGATAAGAGGCGGAAAGTGGATGGATGGATGGATGGACGGACTTCCTTTGCAGAATCACTTTCTATATGAAGCTATATTGATTTTATAATTTACCTTAATCCTTCAGGCATCTTAGATCCTTCTCTATGTATACCTACTCCAGATCATGGGGGAAAAATGTCTACTGTCATTTTAATAGCAAAGTATTAAAACACTATTCTGTATATAAAACATACTGCTGTATATTCAGAAATGATCCAGGTTTTATAGAATGTTAGCTGTAAAGTTTATGATGGATGTATAGACCATTAACTGTCTAGTATGCCAGTTCATATTGCTTAATAGTTTCGTGTCTCTTGCTTCATCCAAATAATGACACCCAGTTACATCTAGCCTAATGACTGATAATGAGGACGAGGAAGATGTCTGGCCTTCTCTCCATCCAGCGACAAAGGAAATGAGAAGGTTTAGCTGAAGTCCATTATACAAGTTTACGTAAACCAAGACAAGTTTGCAAATTTGTGCATTTAGTGTGATATGTGCTGCATGATAAGCCAGCTAATTAAATAATTCAGACCCCCCCCCCCCAAATGTATTCGTCCATGTTTTTTTTTTTTTTTAAACATGTTTTTTTTTTTTATATAAACATGATGAAATTAAATGGCTTTGAGTGGACAGAGTGAGAGAGGTCCTGACAGATAGATGCCGACCCCTCCCCTTAGTTGTCTTGAAGTTACTTACGTGGCCTGGATGCTATTTCCTCCGTGAATCCAAATCCGGCACGATTTCAGGGGTGGGGCTGGAATCCCCACGGTGTTACGGCTGGGAAGTACTTGCACAGTGTCATTGCATAGTGGTAAACTTTTACATAACAAGGCATTTTATGTTATAAATAAACACCTTTGTGGTTATGGAAAGAAAACTTACGGTGAATAGCATGAAGTTTAGCGTAATTCCACAACCTGTTGTGTTCAGCAGTCTATTTTTGTGAGGGTACCTTTAAGACGAGGGTGTGTTGCAAGTGTGAAATTTAATTGTCTAAATATTTAGAGAAGGTGGAGATTCATGACTGTGCAGTGTGCAATGAGGTCAGCCCTGCAAAAGTACACATTAATAGGCTAAAAGTTAATGGTACTGGAGGTTACCTCTCTGACATGCTACACAGTTTTCATTGATGCTACGATGTTTTAAACAGATAAAAAGTTGTGAAAGTTTAATCTCAGAATGCATGTTGAAAAGCCGCATGGTTTGGCGGTGCAGTCAGGCCGGACAGCATCCTGTCCGAGCACGATGAGCAGCAGGCCTGCCTTCCTCAGCCCTTTGCTCTATACATGGGTTCACTGAAAGCCTTGCAGGGGTTCTTTTGTCGATGTTTTTTTTGCCAGCCATTGCAGAGACACGCTTTACACTTTTACAGTTTTACATTTTTACTTTTTAGAGTTTTATGTTGTCAGTATGTGAGCATTTTCAGTTAGTGTAACATGCCGTAACACTGCTTTTCACCATTTGTATTCATCCAAAATGCATGCAGTGACATTAAACGAATTGATCCTGAGGGGGATTACTCTCCTTCCCTGGATGGGAGAAAGACCATGTGAGCCCAGCGAGCAGCCAGACTCCGCCCCCGCCTCCCCCAGTGTCACCAGCCCCTCCCCCCTCCGTGTATTTGCCTCTTCTGCTGGGTCTCCTGCAGGGCATTGCTTACCATTGCTGACTGCATGCTGCATTTTGCTGCGGCAGCTGCTAGTCCTCCCTTCTTAATGCCAAGATAAGACAAGCCTAGGATGAAGAGATGACTTCTAGAGAAGAACGTACTGGGGGAAATTTGTAGGCAGGAGATAAGATGGGAGATATGACTGGAGAAACGGCACTAACCTTATGTGACTAAAAAACATGAAACATTCATTAATGGGAGGTGAAGCACATTGTCTTGCCCTCCTTAGAGGAGAAACAAGTAATTGTGAAGAGTCCTCTTCTGGAATAGCATTGTGTTTTTGGTGGTTCTTTATTAATTCCTGAAGGGCCCCCCATGTGATTTTCCCGTAATGAGATAATGAGCTTGACGCTTAGACTGCATTTTTACTTCCCAAAGCATTCCCACTAATTTGATTTACAGGAGAATTCTGAGGCTGCAACCTGTCAGGACGCTAGTGTTGGGATCCGTGTGAGGCTGTCACACAAATCTCTCCATGTTTTCCTTTCCTTCCCTGCCAACGAGATTTGACCAGGGGCAGGGTGAGGGTAGCTCTGCATTTCTCACAGAGCTCATTTTTTTCTTCTGGACGTTAAGCCACTTAAGGCTGAGGATGGGGGTTTAGTACTGCTGAGGGAGAAAGAATGTATGACTTGTTTTCGCTGCCTTTCCCTGTGCAGTCATATGACAGTCTTCTAGCTTTCCCACTGAGGGTCACACTGAACTTGTGTTTTTGAAAATCACTTTATAAATAAGCCTGTTTACTTGGTCAGTCTGGCATCCACTTTTTTTGTCTAGTCTTAAACATTTATAAATGCATTTGTTGATTGGCTGATTGGGTGCAAACAGAATGCTTGCTTGAGCCTATCACTGCAGTTGTTGTAAGTCTTGGCCTTTTTGAGCGTTAATCCTCACAAACGGGCTCAGCGGGATTTAAAATTGCCAAGTACCTTATGGTACAATTAGAGTGGCAAAACAAGTTGCGAAATAAATATTGCTGTGGCACATGATAAATGAAATGCAGGGATTTACCCATTTGCAGACTCCCATCTAAAAGGTATTTTGATTGTCAAAATGAGGTACATTTGACACAAAAAATATAATATGATAGTCTTAGCAAGGGAAAAAATTGATGTTAAAAAAGTCATAATGATTAATTCCATTTAGGGGGCAATTTAAAGTCAATTCAAACACAAAGCTCTGCCTTGGTGACAAAAGATGTACTAATTTCATTACTGGAGGACTCTACATTGTGGCCTTTTTTCCTGTCAGCAGCGCCGTGTCTTAATGCTGCGGTACGTTGTGGGTTTTAAGGGGCAATTCAGCGATACCATCCTAAAGAGGCATACAGATAAGTCACGGATACTGAAGCTCCGCAAGTCTGAAGCAGCCTGTTCCATGTTTATACAAGTAGCTCAATTTACTTTCACGTGTAAATGTAATAGGTGGATGAGGAATATACTGTATATGTTTTTGATAGTACAGTTTTGAAATGAAATTGAACAGCATGTCGCATCATCTGTAATATAAATCTCAGAGTATGAAGAGCAATGGAAGGACCATTTCAGTCCATCAAAATACTTATTGAGAATTATAGATTCATGAGTAATTTAAAAAAAGAAATGGATAGATGTATAAATAAGCCTGTTGCTGTTACTGAACTACAAACATGTTAAGTCGGGTTTTGGTGTTAACGGGAAATGATGACCCTGTGAGTGCAGCCTACGTGAAAGTGATTTTGTCGTCATCTTTTAAAGAGATGTTGTTTGTTAACTGAAATACTGAAATGCTCTCTACATGTTCAGCACACATCTATTATAACAATCAGAATTTCTCTTTAACTGAATTTACACTATTCTCTACTCTCTTTGTCCGAGAAAATCTCCCCAGCACGCTTCAAATTGTCTAGCTGACATTTCATTGAGTGTGACCCTTGTCAGTCATTTCAGGATAACTACTGATACTAAAAATCATAATTGCTGTGAGCTTTTCTTGTGAATATCCTAAATAACTATGACTGCATTGTCTCCACCAAACCTTTAACCATTTAGTTGTAACGCTGAGTTCTTTGTGTGGTTTACAGGACAGAAGTAGGAACTCACTATGTCTGATGGGGACTATGATTACCTCATCAAGTTCCTAGCTCTTGGAGACTCTGGAGTTGGGAAGACAAGCTTCCTGTATCAGTACACAGATGGCAAGTTCAGCTCCAAGTTCATCACCACAGTGGGCATCGATTTCAGAGAAAAGCGGGTGGTAAGTCGAAGTCCTGGTAATGTCATGATGTGAGAGGTGGGCTTGCTGAGTTTGGTACGTCCTATAACGGCATGTTAAATCACCAAAATTGAACAAAAATTCCACTAATTTTAAACTTCAGAAGCTGTATTTCTTAACAATATTCATATTGTAATATTTTGGGACAATTTGAGTGTAGAGTTTAGGAAAAGAATATACTGTAGGAAGTTGTAGGACTGCTGGTCTTGGTGGTGTTATCCTGTCAGCTGCTGATTTTTCTGTCTTACCCATCTTTGGCATCAGCAGACCATCAATCACATTTTTTATCTGCCTCCTCCAAGTCTGTATTTAATATTCTGCTTGTGGGCGGAAAAAATTAATGGCGTGTGCCCACCCTTTTCCGGAAAACTGCTATCTAGCCAGCTGAGAGCATTTCACTGATAAGATTTTATTTTTATATCTGAGTCATCATTCACCATAGAAACAACAACGCAAACATGTAGCTAGTAGACATTTATTTGCTGAATGCGGGAAACTGTTGAATGGATCAACCTGAGAGGCAGTAGTGATGAAAGTGTTTTACGCTTTTCCAGTCTTTTGGTAATGAAATAAAGCAAATCTTGTGGCTCTCAGATGAATCTCATTAACTGTGTGCAGCTCTGAAATAGACCAGTCATGTATAATTTATCTATAAACAGCTTCAGTGGCACCCCTAACCACTTCCTGTCTCTGTTCTATTTGACTTGTTGAATTTCAGATCTGGGAAATAAAGTGCTTTATAATTAGCTGACAAGTACAATCAGGTGTATAGCTAGTGGAAATGGACAAAAATCTGGACTGACAGTCACCGGTGTATTTAAACATCCTGAATCAGGGGGCATAGAATTGTGGAAGTTCCTCAAATCCTCCTCCTCCATAAAAAAGACCCGTTGTCCCACAGTTACTTATTACTAAAAACGCCCTGAAAATATGTTATCTGGCGTCTACAGGTAAATTCTCAATTAAAGGAGGAGACCTTTCAGTGGAGGAGAACGATAGGAGTGTTCACGTTAAACTCAACGTGCCGAGCATTTTGTTTGGTTTGCACACTCCTATAAGATAAATATTTAAGAAGTGTGCCAAGCAAGAACCCATGGCCATGCACACCATTCACGGTAATTCCTGAGGCCCAGTGTCAGCTACCAGCAGACTTTTTATTTTCCTTTCTGGTCAAGTGCAGGGTTCCATTTGTCCAAATTCTCGAGATGATTTTCCAGCTCTCTGATGCAGGCTTAGTTGTGTTAAGGGATGGTTTGGCTGCAAATCCTGTCCTGTCTACATGCTGTAGGTATACAAATCCAACGGTCCGGACGCGGTAGCGGGAAAAGGCCAAAGAATCCATATTCAGCTGTGGGACACGGCGGGACAGGAAAGGTGGGGCATGAATGGGACACGTCCGAAGCTTTCAATGTGACTTACCCATCCACTAATATGTCACCCTTACATGAGGTCAGATCATTAACAGAAGTGACCTTTTTGTGACCTCAGGTTTCGGAGCTTGACGACAGCTTTCTTCCGAGATGCCATGGGCTTTCTTCTATTGTTTGATCTCACAAATGAGCAAAGCTTTCTCAATGTCAGAAACTGGATGAGTAAGTCTCTTTAGAATCATTTAGTACAATGTTTCCCAATACGGTCCTCAGGGACCCACAGATAGTCCATGTTTGTGCTTCCTCGCAGCTCCTGGTAGGAAGCAAAAATGTGGACTGTCTGTCAGGGAGGTCTGAGGGAGCAAAAACATGAATTAGCTTGGCAAACACTGATTTAGTATGATCCGTATGATCCTGAAAGAGCATCCACGGGTCAAGATTATCAATTTCACAGGGCACCTGCTGCAGCCTAACCTGAAGAGAATCTTTCTTCCACCATCCAGGTCAGCTACAGATGCACGCATACTGCGAGAACCCAGACATTGTGTTGTGTGGTAACAAGTGTGACCTGGATGAGCAGAGAGCCGTCAAAGAAGAGGAGGCGAAGGAGCTGGCAGAGAAGTATGGGTATGCATCATCCTGTGGGCCTCAAGAGGGCTGGGACGTGGAGGAGTGTTCCCAAGGCGGGGCCAAGCGAAACTCACACAAATCTGAGCATTTGCTATCCATCTAATGTGGTCGGCAGTTTCTGTGTGTGTACACTTCATACACGGATCACACAGGGAAGTTGCTTTCTTCTCTTTACTTGCACTGTATATGTGTCAGTCGCCATGTCATGATTCTTGATAGGTTGCACATATCAAACATAACTTTTCCTGCTTTTCCCAGCAATGCAGTTGATTCAGATTTGTACTGTTTACCAAAATAAATGTTTATGATTACTATTTGTACATTTCCTCCGTCGTTTCCATGTTACAGTAAATAGCAGGTAATTTTTCTATTAAAATAAATTCATAATAAGGGAATAAAATGAGTATATTGTGTGATGGGTGGTACATTTACTTATGAAGGAATTTGTGCTTCCAGATCTACTTTTTCTAAGCTCCCCCACCCCCATATGCTCGGCAAAGGTCAGTTGCCACAGTTGGCTAGGTGTGACTCAAATATCAGGTCTGATCACAGAAATTCATGGCAGACAGCCTTACCTGAACCCCACCTGCCACTGAAGTGCAGGTACTCTGAAACAAACCAGAGGAGGAATCTCACCTCACTGATGATGACTAGAATCGCAGTGATTGTGATGTGGCATTTGTGTTGACTGGCGATTTGGAATGCTCAGGGTTTGTTCCCATCCGTGAAGTATTTGTTGATCACCACTGAAGCTGAAGGCAGGACTGAATACACTTTGTTATTGTCAGTAAGAGTCATTCCACTTTGTTAGACTAATTGGTTGCTATGTTTTTGTTATGTTCCTCGATAGATAAGGAGGTAGTCAGTAACGTTTTTGGTGAATAAGACTTAAATAACACTTCGTTTTTCTCTCTATGATTTATCTAAGATGTTTGTGTAACCACGGTTCCCTGCAGAATTCCCTACTTTGAGACGAGCGCAGCAAACGGCACCAACGTGAATCAGGCCGTGGAGGTTCTGCTGGACTTGATCATGAAGAGGATGGAGCGCTGCGTGGACAAGTCGTGGATCCCAGATGGCACGGTGAGGTCAAATGGGCACAGCACCAGCGAGAAGACGGCAGAGCAGAAGGAGGAGACGAAAGGCAAATGCAGCTGTTAGGAATATGAAAGGCAGACAGGGCTGACTGAGCCGTGCTCGCATGTAAGGGCCCCATCGCCAGCACTGGGGAGAGCTGGTACTACACAGTACTACAGTGTGTCACGTGTTTACCAACCAATGGCATTGGGAGTTCTCTGCTAGGCAGGTGAAAAGTGGGATTTGCTAACATGTGTGTCCACCAGTTACATCAAGTTAATTTTGCTCATCAGCACTAGTCATGGGTCCAAAGGAAATTGTCAGTAATTTCGATGTACATACAGTTTGGTCCATAAGTATTTGGACCATGACCCAATTTTTATAATTTTGGCTCTGTACATGTCCACAATGAAATTGAAATTAAGCAAACAAGATGTGATTGAAGTGTATGCCTTAAGCTTTAATACAAGGGGTTTAACAAAAATCTTGTGAGCCGTTTAGGAATTCCAGCCATTTTGAAATATAGTCCCCCCATTTTCAGGGACTCAAAAGTAGTTGGACAAACTAACAATATAATAACAATAATGATCATTTTAATACTTGGGTGAAAATCCTCTATAGTCAATGACTGTCTGAAGTCTGGAACCCAAAGGCATTAGCAAATGCTGGGTTTTCTCCCTAGTGATGCGTCGCCAGGCCTGTACTGCAGCTGTCTTCAGTTGCTGCTTGTTTTTTGTTGGTCCTTCTGTCTTTAGTTTTGTCTTCAGCAGGTAAAATGGATGTTTATTTAGGTCGAGGTCAGGTGACCAACTCTGCCATTGAAAAGTATTCTCCTTCTTTGCCATGAAAAACTCTTGGGCTGCTTTCGTGTTTTGCTTTGGGCATAGTTGTCCATCTGTACGGAGTAGTGCTGTCCTATCAGTTTCGCAGCATTTGCTGAATCTGAGCAGATAGTAATGTCTTATTCACTTTGGAATTCATCCTGGCGCTTCATACCATCAATAGATACTAGTGATCCAGTTCCACTGGCAGCCATACATGCCATCCCATAATACTGCCTTCACCCTGTTTCACAGATGATATGGTATTCTTTGGATCATCAGCAATTCTTTCCCTTCTCCATACTTTTTAAATCTGTACAAAGAATTTTGCTTCAGACCTGGGCAAGCTTTTTTAGTTTTTTTTTTCCTGGCAGTCTAATCTGGCCTTCATGTTATTGAGGATCACCAGTGGTTTGCGCCTTGTGGTAAACCCTCGCTTTGCTTTCATGAAGTCTTCTTTTGATTGCAGACTTTGGCAATGATATGCCTACCTCCTTGAGAGTGTTCCTTACCTGGCTAGATGCTGTGAGAGGGTTCTTTTCCACCAAAGAAAGCATTCTGCAGTCATCCATCACAGTTTATTTGTTAATAGAATTTGGACAGCCCATAACTGGGTATGAAACAGCTTGTTAGTCGTTGTCCAGTTAATTTTGAACTCTTAATCGGGATGTAATTTATAAATTTGTTAAACCCCTTGAAATTAAAGCTGAAAGTCTACACTTAAATCACATCTTGATTGTTTCATGTCAAATCCATTGTGGTGGTATACAAAGCCATAATTTGTGAGAATTGAACAAACTACCAGCACGCACCAGGTGTACACCTTGCCTACCTGTTGATGATCGTGAATTTAGTTTTTCAGAAAAATTTATTTCTTAATGTAATCTTAAGAACAGGATCCGCTCCACCACTTTCAAAATTCACAATTTTAATGAATTGTTGGTTCTATAAATAGAAGCAAGTAGGTCTACATTATTATTATTATTATTATTTTTATTTTTTTTAAACAAGGATTATATTAAAATTTTCAAGTGCCAAGTATAAACTGTGTGTGGGGCAATTAAATACAAAAATGTTACTGTTTATGAAAATAAAGTTAGGTGTTTGGTGTGAGCACAATGAAAGCGATGAACGACTTACTGGTGAACTGTCCGTGTAGGAACCACTCGTTAACAATGTTCACTAGAGCAGCTCCTGTGGGGGTTAACTTTTTTAAAATTTATTTTTTGTACTGGTTTTATAGTTATAAGACACTGTGCCATTTTTCAGTGTAAATAGTTATAGACAGGATTAGACATTGGGATAAACTCCCAAAGGAAATATCGGAGAAATCTGGAATATAAAACCGTGGTCACCGGTCTTAATCGCGACAGGAAACCCACGCGCGACATAGTGCTGCCCTCTGCCGGTTGAGAGTGATTTTTAGCGAAGACTTCAAACCAAATCTGAATATCTCTTGAGTTTAAAGCTGAAATGTGATCAATGCATTAAATTAGCTGCGTTCTAAGTACATTTGTACGGCAGGTTTTTTTTAAAAAAAACATTAAAAGATCTGACGAAGGTTTTTTGAGCTGTTTTGAATCTTCCATCCTGTTTGTTTCACTGTTTCACTGCCTAAACACACTTTATGCCAAATATGTAAACTGTATCCCTTATTCAGAAGATGCTTGTATTTTATTTATCAAAATCATTTTCTCTCCTGAAACCTCTGTACATGCTTTAGGCCTGTCACAATGGATTGAAGAGGCAAAGGTTTTTTGAAATTTTATATTTATCTTGCCTGCATAAAGTCAGTTGACACGTTTTTGGAATTAATTTCAAATTTGAAATATAGGCTGACCGCATATTTTACACTAGTTTTTTAGTGAATACTTATGGTATGCCTATAAACAACGTGCATTTACTATTACTGTTATTATTATCAATAAACTTAGGCACAGGACAACTACTGATAGGCCTATATAGGTGAGTATCACAGAAAATTCACTATTTACTTAATTTTCCTTTGATTTCAATACGGCAGGCATGGAGTTAACAAAAGATGTGTTAGCCATTGTATGCACCTTGATGTTCATGAATCAAATAAAATGCAAATTGGACATTGTTTTTGTTTTATTATTTTTGCTGTGCTGTTTTACAAATACCGCTAAGCAGACATTTTAATGCATTATTCTTGCGCAGTGGTGTTTTTCTGGATATAAATTGGCTGTAGTTTTAGTCATTGTTTTCTCACAGGTCAATATTATAGCCTACGTCTATTACCTTATTAAATGTAATTTTAACGCCAATGAACAGCCATGACCAACGCGGCGTCTATGTGTGTGATATCTATAATTTACATACTGTACAGGGCTCCATTTGTCGTGGTATGCACGTAGGATGTCACTCCCCGTAGGGAAAAAAATGACAGCCATGCCCCTAAATTGTTCTGTGTAATATCATTCACATTAGGGTAAATCTACCGACTATGTCATTGGTTTAATTCTACACTACTCCAGTTTTCAGTGTCATTGCTGCCTTTCTTGAAGTTCTCCTTATCAAAACGAAAGAGTAAGAAAGAAAGTTAGCGATCAGCGCCCTGGTGGCTTGACGTGATCGTGTTTTGGTTCGTATACTCTGCGTTGTGAAGGAGAGTACTAGTTAGTTAGTATTTAATTTGAATCACGGCAGTTTCAGAGATCTTCGTTGTGTCCTTGAGCAATGCTCATAAATTCAGGAAAAATGCTGGATGGACTCTGCTCTCAAATCCCAAGCTTCGTTTTTTACCTCAATAGGGTGGTATATGCCTTAAAAAGGAGAGCCAGATCGGATTTTCTGAAAACAAACACAGTCCAATATACTTGTGCATCATTTCAGAAAACATAATTCTGTTGTAAAGCACATACCACATCTTTTAACGAATGTTCTTTGCATTATAATTTAAATTGAGAAGGAGAACCTCCCAGACTTAGTTTACATAAAATTTTTATATGTGGTTGGCCTCATGTTACCATTTTATTTGATAATCATGTTAATATGTCGATTGTAACAAGCTAGGCAAATCTGAGACAGTTCTTTAATTGCACTGTGATGGTAATTGTTAGCCTTGTGTAACAGGTTTTTGTAAAAGTTTAACATAACAACTCTTAAGCTCTTACCCATTGGTTACACCCCATGAAAATTGTAAATGAACTGATGGGCTCCAGACAAATTCTCATTTGAGTATTGGTCTGGTTATGCCGGGTTAGGTCATTGTTTTTTTTCAATGGTATAAATGCTGTATTAAGTACTCGTATTAGTACTCGGTTTCGGCAAGTATACAAATGTAAATACTCATATTCTGTCAGAAAAAAGGTATTGCTGCAACCCTAGTTATTAGCAACATATTCACAAATGCCAATGTGCAAACATATCAGATCTGAATACAAACATCAACTTTCATTGCGTATTTGCAAGTAGTGTTCTGTTTTATCATAAACATACTCGCCTAATGAGAGGGCTGGTGTTGTAATACAAACACCAAATACTCACTGACTATTTTCTCCTAGCCTTTAATTTTTATGTATTTCTTTATTGGTTTCATTTGTTGGTTTTCTTTCTTTTTTTAACTGATCCAGTTGAAAGCCATAGATTGAAAGCCATTTTCTGCTGGTTTTAGCTTAACTTTTTATTGGCCTACCTTCAATACCCTAACAGCCCACTAGGGGGCCGTGGCCCACAGGTTGGGAAACTGTTGGTGTAGACTGTAGACCAACAGGTTTGCAGCAGATTGCTGCCTTAACATGTTAGTGATTTATGTTGAAATAACTAAAGGCTTATTACTCAGAATATATTAAAAAGGGAGTCAAATATTTTGTAGATACTGATAACTTTTAAATTTTAGGGAAAAATGTTGGCATCGAGTTTTAAGATTCTCAGATTAAACACTGTTGATAAAACCCCTTCAAAAAGCAGGCAGTCAAAAGATATTCTGTCAGTTACTATATTTTTTAAACAGTAGATCTCCTACATCAAGACTGGTCCTTAGATTGCATTATGTGTTGGTGTCCAGCATATGAAACAAAACTCCAGAGATATTTGCATACATAGGGAATACAGAAAAAAGTTATGAGCACCGTTCGTGTCCCTTTTTTTACCTGATTTGTGCCAAAACTGGCTAATGCACCAAAACACCTTAAAAACAAGCAGAAACAAAAAGGCAGCACAGTTGTCAAACTACACTCTTTCAAACTGTTTACAAATATTTATATTACATCTTGCCGTTGTCGATGCAAAACCAACTCCAAGAGTGAGTACAGCAGTGCTCCTATATCCATGGGGATACGTTCCAAGGCCTATAGTAGCAAATACCATATATAACTTGGTTTTCATGTACAAACATACCTTTGATACAGTTTAACTTATAAATTATACACAAAAGTATCAAAGGTCTCCATGCCAAGCTGAGAGCTAATCCGAAGCGACCCGATCTGGAGAGCGTATGTTTCAGTGAAAATGATCCCAGCCTACAGCTCGCTGCTGAAACGCACTTCACCGGTCCAGAGAGAGATCAGAGTGTGGCCTGAAGGAGCTATCTCAGCACTTCAAGACTACTTCGAGAGCACAGCCTGGTCAGTGTTCAAAGAGGCTGCCACCTATGGGGACCGTGTTGATGTGGTGGAGTACACCTCAGCTGTGACTGACTACATCTGGAAATGTACTGAGGATGTCACTGTCTCCAAGAAGGTCATCACAAGGGCTAACCGAAAACCCTGGATGTCAGCGGAGGTCCAGTGGATGCTGAAAGCACGGGATGCTGCCTTTAGATCGGGAGATAGGGATGCCCTCAGAACTGCACGAACCAACCTCACAAAAACAATCAAAAAGGCCAAGTTTGCATATGCTTGTAAAATACAAAGCCACTTCCATAACAACCAGAGACACTCGAAGCATGTGGAAAGGCATCCAGGCTATCACAGAATACAAACCACCGACCTCCCTATGCGACAACGATGCTTCTCTCCCTGACACATTGAACACCTTCTACGCGCGGTTCGATGCACTCAACACTGAGCCTACCAGGAAATCTGCTCCGCTCCTGGAAGAGGAGGTATTGATATCATGACAGTCAATCTGAGAACTGAGATGGTTGCTGTGACTAACGGGTAGGTAGCATATGCGGTGGTAGGATGCCGCAAGATTTTATCACGCGACTTGTTTATTTTCCATTGAATATTCAAGGACCACGATTGACTGCAGGTAACTGAAATAAAAGCAAAAATAAAAATGTTGAAGGAGAGAGGATAATATATAGGTGGAACACAGAAAAGGCTAACTGAAGAGGAAGAAAGTGTTAGAATTGACTAAAATAGCGTCACTCTTTCATCGGTTATCAAGGTACAGTAGCAGCAGATGTAAGTGTCCTATGTTGGGCTGGGCGGTATATTGAGATATTTTCAAATAAGATGTATGAAGTGAATACTGTTTATATCAATATACTTTTATTGTGCATTAGAATGAGGGCTGTCAAAGTTAGGCGCTAGCAGCAAAAAACTCATAACATCAAAACATTCAGTTAGCGTCTCCTGGGGAAGCTGATGGAGGGGAAAGGCAAGGAAACGTTACTTTGTTGATTCCATTTTTAAATATTACCAGACAGCTAATAGGATAAGAAATGTCATCCGTCCATCAATCCATTTTCTGTAACAACTTGTCCTATTCAGGGTTACAGAGTAAAAATATCATAATTTACAATATTTGTTTTATTTGTTGAAGGCTTATACCTTAAATGAGGATTTTTCCCCTAGTTATTTTTGATGGTTCCCGGGCTTCTGTTTTAAAGCCATTAGTGATATGGGTTCTAGATTTAGATTATTTGTTTTGTTCCTAAATGTTCATTGAACTATTTTGAGAGCATCATAATAAACTGACCAATATTGTGTGTACTGTATATTAGCCAGGAGGTAGCACAGTTTATCTCATTGCCTAGTGATATCATTTGGTTTTTGTCAGGATCAGTCCTTGCAATGTCTGTCATTTCCCTGGTTGGCCAGCAGGTGTCACAGATCATCCCGTTCCTTTTATGGTTGGTGCCTTTCACTGTCCCTAGTTTGTCCCCATGATCCGTGGGCCACCACTTGACTGAATGCAGCTAACAACCACACATCCCACTCACGGTAGCCTAAAGGCTATCCCGCATGATGTAGCCTAACAAAAATGTCTGTTTTGGCATATGCCTACGGTTTATCATCCTCAGAGATGTTCCGAGGAGTTTAGTATGATTTAAATAAAACATGGATTGTTTGACCTACCAAAATGAAACCAATGTCACTGTCGACAAGACAAGATAAGATAAGATATGGGAAGATTAGATTAGATTAGATTAGATTAGATTAGATTACATTAGATTAGATTACATTAGATTAGATTAGAGCTCTATACATCCTGAGGGTAATTATTGTGCCAAGGCATACCTCTAACCGGATTTAAAAACTGAGCTTTAAAATACTACAAATAAGGAATATAATGCTGTACAAGAATACGATAGATTAGAATAGAATAGAATTAAATAAGGAATACATACACAGGATAATACAAGTAGAATGCAGTATAAAGACATAAAGAATAAAAAAATAGATATGTAACTAAAGTAGGAGTGTGCATGTGCAAATTGTGTAAAACACTAACATATCTTACACTTGTGCAGAAGAATGACATAGGCTATTAATAAACATTGTTAAAAACAGAGTCCAAAAGTGCCTGGAAACTGTCTCATGGATCCGGGGGTCTCAGAGAGCTTGGGTATGTTACTGTATTATTTTTGTATATTGGTGTAATAAAAATTGTTCAAGCATTGGTGTAGTTGTATAATTTTAATGGGTTCATAAAGGACGAGTATGAACAGTGCATCCTGTAGGTTATCGAACCTATAAACCCCCGCAACATGTCCATACTTTGAGTTGTGGTGCAGCACTGACTTAAAGATAGTGTATTTACTTTTATCCATGGGCAGCTGATTTAGATTTAACAGTATGTTTCTGGTCTCAGAGGAATTAATAAAGAGTGCAATAAAACCCATAAAAACTGGAACAGAGAGTATATTTGGAGGCTTATCTTGAGAAGTTATTTTATGTATACATTGTTTTC